GGTAGCGCGGAGCGCGGCTCGTGTGTCTGTGGTAAGGGGAAGGGCCTTTGTAAACACATCCGAGCGGGGCTGTGGGTGCTGGTGTCCGCTGCAAAGCCTGCCCTGTGAGGTGGATGCAGTAATGCTGTGAGACAGGGTGTGTCTGTGAGACTGAAACCAGGGTTTGTGGATGCACACAAAGTTTAGGAACAGGGTGGCCTGCTAGTGGGAACCCCTCTGCCTTCCCTGTCCCCGTGTTCCCGGAGGGCACGTTTAAGCCTCCTGATGTCCCAGATGTGGAAGTTGGATGGGTGTGGTACTGCTGTGGTGTTACAGAGGATTTATAAAGAACAGTGCTGGCTGAGATCTGGTGTCTCTGGGGCAGCCAGTTGTGCGGTTCTGAAATCCTGTTGCTCACTTGACAGATTTGATGAAAAGGAGAATGTATCGAACTGCATCCAGCTGAAGACTTCAGTTATTAAAGGTATTAAGAATCAACTGATAGACCAGTTTCCTGTTATTGAACCATGGCTAAACCACATTATGCCAAAGAAAGACCCAGTCAAAATAGTAAGATGGTAAGTTTCTTTTCTCTTTACCTTTGATTCCAAGGTGATAGGATTGCTTCCTTCATATGTTTATTTTGTATAGTAGATGAATGTAATATTTTTGAAAAGCATCTCATTTCTTATAGATAATAGGCCATGTTATGGCCAAACCAGAAAGTTGGCATGTGCTCATCATGCTCTTGAAGGACCATGATGAAAGGAGGCTAGCAGGACGCTTGGGGAAAACAGAAATGCTGCCTGCTGGTGAATGTGCAGCATATTTGGGGACTTTCTGCCTGTTGTTGAAGGGAAGCGTTCAGCTTTATGGGTGTGGAAGCTCAAACTTGTTTGTACAGCTTCCAGGAGCATTTTTTTACTATTTTTGGGCTTCCATATATTATTTGGATTACTTTCTTTTTTCTTAAATAGAGGGTAGTGTATTTTTGCTGATTCTTTCTCCTTGTCCACTCTTCATATTAGAAAAACTCAAAGAAATGCAGTTTGTGAACAGCTGGATGTTTGTCTGTAGATCTTTTCTCTTTTTCTTTCCCTTTTTTTAAAGGGGAAGGAAGTGTACAGGAGGCCAGTGTTGAAGAACAAGCCATAAAAAAGATAGTATTTTTAGTTTTAAATTTTCTTGCTAATTTGACTGTCTTAATTTTCAGATGCTGAAATAGACCAGACTCTGTGAAGTGAAATATTTCATTTAAACTATATTTTTAATGTTTCCTTTAAACTAAAAGGATTAAGTAGCTATTGGAATTTTTTTTTTTAATCTTGCAGTCATGAACATATAGAAATCCTCACTGTGAATGGGGAGTTGCTGTTCTTCAGACAGAGAGAAGGGATTTTTTACCCCACGCTAAGGTTGCTTCACAAATGTAAGTTTCCTGAGGATGGGAGTGGTGGGTGGAGAGGGGCCAGTCCATGATTCCACAGGGCTTCTGTAGAACCAAACTGAAAAGAACTTACTGATTATGTGTGTATATATATTCCAGAATTGATCTTAACAACATAACATACCCTCTCAACTGTAATTTGCTGTTTTGCTATTTCAGGTGCCTGTATGGATTGCTTCCCCCATAATTATTGTAATGCTGTATGTTAAGCAATCTGAACTTTGATTTCTAAGAATTAAATTGTGCAAAGGTCTGCAAAAAAATCTTGAGAGAGGTTTCCCTAGGACAGAGATCTAAATTTCCTGTTGTTAGTCACTGTCTTTGTTCTTTCAAGTCTTCCTTTAAACCCTTTTTGCTTCCTTCCAAATACCTGTAGGGTCTTAGTAGAAAAATATTCTTTAATCACGAGTTTAATGATGTAATGTGTGCTTGTCTCCTTTAAGAATCTATGCTGCATGTTTTTTACTTTTTACAGTTTACTCTTGCCTTATTTTTCTTGCTGTTCTCACTGTTCTGCTTGATTGCGTTACTCTGATTTGGATGAGTGTAGGTGTCCCTAAAAATGTTACTCTCAATGTTTGAAATACTTCAGGAAGGTGTGTGCACTTAAAGGATGGCTTGGAGAGCTTGCAGCCTTCATTAATTCTGCACATCTTTTGCCTTTTTTGTCCTGTTAACATTAAACTCTTTCTTTTTCACCTAAGAGGCTATACATGTAATTTGAGGGATTTAAGACCCCTTGATTTTAAGACCTCTTAGTATTTGGGCGATCGTGTGATTATTTTCATTGTGGGAACTTGTTAGGATTGTTACTTGCTCTATGTGTATGTGAGCCTGCAGGAGGCACAGGCCTAGTGCTGGGTTACCCTTTGGTTCTCAGATCAAAGCTGTGGTACCAGTGTCCTCTCAGGACAGCACAGCCCAGCAGGAGCTCTGGACATTCCTACCCTCATAGCACACTAGATATCTAATTGCACCATCTACACTGACTTGATAATGAGTTACTCATGTTGTCATCTTGCTGTATTAATTGTGATGCTGTATCTTTCCCCTCCTAGACCCATTTATTCTACCACATCAGCAGGTTGATAAAGGCGCCATTAAGTTTGTACTAAGTGGAGCTAATATAATGTGCCCTGGCCTGACGTCTCCTGGAGCAAAACTTTACCCTGCTGCTGTTGATACTGTTGTCGTATCCTTCTTTAACTATGAATTACTGCTTGTTAAATTCCTGTTCTTGGCTGATCATAATCTGAATTATTTTGGATTTTAATGGCATTTAATGGAATAACTAGTAATCTGACAAGAGCTGCAGAGGTTCAGGTGTTATTTGGCAAAGTTAAAATTGTTCTTAATTTTTTTTTTTTTGTACTTAGTGCGATGTTCCAAACCAAATAACTGTTCCTGCTGTGCTGTTGGGTGGGATGCTGTTCTATTAATCTCATTGGTAGTTGGAGCTCAGTTGTGATTTTGTGCAGAACTGTAAAAATAGATGAAGTACAGTGTAATTTGTCCCCTGCCTCCTCCTTAATCAATCTTGTATCTCCTTCAGTTACAGAATAATTTGCTCCTGTTCCCAGGGAATTTGGAAGGATGTGTAGAATGAGCTTTGCTGTAGTCAGGACTTGCTCTATGTGTCTGATGAAGTTAGAATATGTAAAATGAGGAAAATATGCTAATTCACTCATGCTCATTATATTACTAAGGAACCCTGAGCAAATACAACATTGCTGATACTAAGCTGTGCTGCTTTGTTGTTAGATGCTATAGGAACAGATCAGCAGTTAGCATCACGTGTTGCTAAGCTTTGAAAAGGACATCTGATGTCAGTACTTCTGTTTTTGTAGATTTGTGTCTCAATTCTTCTGTACCCTGGAATCTAAAATGGCCCCAAAAACATGCAGTTTTGTTGCAGAAAGGGTGAGACTATAATCTGTGTTGGGTGCAAAGGAAGAGACGGAGTGTAGTGCTGGGAGATCTTTTTCTGTAATTGCTGTTTGAAGTTCTTAAATAGATGCTTTGTTCTGCCCACTGTGATTCAGCTGTTAAATGCAGTGCTTTGTTTTGCTTATCTGTTAAGAGCTAGAGCTCTAGAATTACTAAAAGGGTAAAAGTTCAGCATGGGATTTTGAAACTGTCCAAAAAGTTGTTTCCTCATATTGCTTTTACTTTTCTGAAATAGTTTTTTTTTTTTTTAAATTAAAAAAATAATCTGTTTTCCTTAGCAGTAATTTGTAGGCAATAATGGCCGAGGGAAAACAACATGCATTATGTGTGGGAGTAATGAAGATGTCAGCTGAGGACATGTAAGTGTTTTAAAAATTGAAATATAACCTGCCCCATGCCATTATTCCTATGTTAGCTTGGAATATAAGCACCACTGCCAAGGTTACTGCATCACTGCTGCAGCATATGTTGTTCAAGTACATAATTTTTTTAACATTTCATTTTGTTTAACATTCAGGGAAAGAAGAGGAGGCAGGGAATATCTTCCCTACCTATTTGTTTACCACATTGAATCAAAATAGTTCTTTGCATGTGAATATGGATTTTAAAATGCACAACAATGGTACTACTGTTGAATGCTAATATTTCTTGCTCTCTGATCATACCTTCTTAAAGATCTTGCTGAGCAAGGAAATATTTGTATAGAGTATTTACTACCTGGGCTGGGCAAGAGATGTAATTTGGATTTGAGGAGGCTGAAAAACATTGAAGTGATTTTTGTCTGCAGGGACAGCAGGGACTGAAGTCCTGCTGCTACTTGGTTGACCAGCTGGGCTTTTGTCTGGGACCTTCTCTTTTTCTCTGCCTTGTATCCACC